TCATTTGCTCTAGATTGTTAGTTTAATTTCATGTGAAATCAATCCCCATCAAGCGAGTAGAATGTGTAGGACCTTTTTTTCGGTTATGTGACTTTGACGACTAGGTAGTGAACGAAGCTCAGAACAACTTTCCTTTGAGAACGACCCGAGTCGGGTAACTCGGTTACCACATGCCCAAAAATACTACAAACAGAAACTGACACTAAGGCCTTGATCACAGAGTTGACTCACACTCAAAAGATTTACCTTTAGTTCATCAACAAGTAACACATCAGTTAATTTAGGTAACCCACCCAAATTTAAACAGCCTGTTCCAATAACCTTATTGCTTACACTGTCACCGAACTTGACTTCCCCATTTGAACCGGACTGAATGTTCATCAAGTAGGAAGGTTCCCCAGTCATGTGTCTAGAGCAGCCGCTGTTCAGATACCATTTACCTTTCAAAGAAGTCCTGAGAGACAAAACAGAGGCAAAACAGTTGAAGGATTTCTTAGCAACCCACACTTGATGAGTTTTGGCACAGTTATTTGAGAGGGTTCTGGCATGAACCTTCACTGGAATGCCAGACTGATTCCAACCCCTAACATTACCTGTACAAAGATCATGTTGCATTTTATAACATTTGGGTCTTATGTGACCAGTTACTCCACAGTAATGACAAATAGGAACAAAGCTACGATGATTTTTACTGACAGGTTTCTGCAAAGGTGAATGAACCTTCAAGGGGGAGTTTGGAGAGAGAGATTTACTTGAAGTGCTTTTGACAAACCTGTCAAATACGTTTATGGAAGGTTTCCCATACACGTTCATACCTCCAATTCCAGGTTTGTCCCCAAAACCAAGGCCAGTATGTTTTGAATTTGAAGTCCCAGGTGAGGATTCAGGATTGTTCTCCTTGCCTATGTACCCTATTTCAGTAAGATCTCCATGTTGTTTCCCCAGGGAAAGAGTTCATTCAGATCTGCTTTTCCCTTGTTCAGTTTTTTAACGACCTCTGCAGTTCGGTTTAACTCAGCAGAATTTGCTTCCAGTTTACTTTCCACGCTAGCATGTTCGTTCATCAGCCGATCAGCTTCGGTTTTTAGCATCATGATTTCCCGGTTCCATTTGGCCAGAAGCTTCTGAGTAGAAAATAGTCCGGATCTCAAGCATTCAATGGTCTGAGCCTTTTCTAGTCCATCTTGCTTGGCAAGCTTGACACTGCTCTCAAGGATGCTGGTTCGAGCCTTTGCAGTATCCAATTCACAATCTTTAGCAGCAGTGGAAGAATATGCTTGTTCGTTCAACACCTTGTTTGCTCTTGAAAGTCTGAACACTTCGTTTTGAAGTTTCTGTAAGGCTTAAGATGCTTGAGCACACTTTTCCATGGCAAGTAAGTGTACAAGATCAACACACACATTTTGATCTGCTTCATCTCCAGATGCTTCAGCTTCTTTTAAACTTTCTTCAAACTTGGTCGGAACGTGAGAAGTGGTGAGACACATGAACTTCTTGACTGAGGTATGAATTACCATGTTGCTCGTGTGCGAAGGAGGTTCGTCTGTGCCTTCTTCATTTGAATCTTCCCAGGTTGCCTTCAGAGACTTGTTCTTCTTCTTAAGGTTAGCACACTCATACTGAAAGTGTCCAAAACCTCGACACTCCCTGCATTGATCTTTCTCAACTCGTTGTGATTCAGGTTTTGAGAGAGACATACTACTGTTCTTGTCCAACACTACGTTCTTGCTGAAATTGTTGCCCTTTTTTCCACCAAATTTATTCTTGTACAACCTTTGACTCAACTTTCCATAGTTTTGCGCAATTAGCGCTAGTGCTTCTTTTAGCTCACTGTCGTCTGCCATCGGACCTTCATCATCATCATTTTTTTCTCTCCTCGACTATAGCAGCTTTGAGAGCTAAGACCTTACTTTTGACTTTGTCATAATTGTTGTTTATTTCAAACATCCTGAGCTCTCCAAGAAGTTCATCAACATCCAAAGACGCCACTCTTTGTAAACTCTCAAGAGCTGTAATTTTTTTTCTAAACATGGGAACGACGATTCTCATGATCTTTTGCACTTGACGCTTCTCAGAAATTTCTTCTCCAAGCATCATACTTTGATTTACCAAATCACAGAATATGGCATAGTATACGTCAATTGTCTCTTCATCTCTCATTTTGATCTCATCAAATTCA